TGTTTTATTCGCTTAACAACAAGTTTATATATCAAGCAGTGAAAGAATTATGTAAAAATCATGACTGAGTCCAAAGTTATAGGCATTTTAATTTAAAAAATTATATAGAATTTATACTTTTTGGAAAGCTGACTTTACATAAAGTACGATAAATGAAACAAAACCTAAAAATTTTTGATACCGAGGGGACCAGGTCCATCCAAAAAAACCCTATTTTTTATGGAAAATTAAATTTTGAGCAAAAATTCTCAAATCGCATAGTCGATATCAAATTATAGTGACCTGTTTTATATGACCCAATATGTTCTTAATCATTTTGTAACGGGTTTCGATAACCCCGCCCCTGGTATGGATATAATAGGCAAAAAACTAAAAAATCCCATTTTTGGGATTTTTTAAAACTTTTTTGGGAATTCCGGGATTTCTAATAAGAAAATTCGAAATTTTGATTTAATTTTGGATTTTAAGTAAAAAAATCTACCTAACTGTAAAATTTCATCAAAAAATATTCATAAATAAAATTTTTATTGCAATTAGAAAAATTTGTATCTTCGCAAAAACTGAATAAAAAACATTTTTTAATTTTTTTTAAAAAAAGTATTCCGCGAATTTTTTAATTTTCAAAAATTATATACAGTTTTGAAAAATAGACAAAATTACCTTTCCATTGATATATAACATGCCTACCTAATGTTTTTTAAGTGACAAATTAATTAGGGAAAACTCAACATCTTTTAGAAAATTTGCCTAGCACTATTATTTTCATCCATAAGGTTAACTCTTAAATTTGTTACATATATGGATGAAAATAATAGTGCTAGGTAAATTTTCTAAAAGATGTTGAGTTTTCCCTAATTAATTTGTCACTTAAAAAACATTAGGTAGGCATGTTATATATCAATGGAAAGGTAATTTTGTCTATTTTTCAAAACTGTATATAATTTTTGAAAATATAACAATCAATGGAAAGGTAATTTTGTCTATTTTTCAAAACTGTATATAATTTTTGAAAATTAAAAAATTCGCGGAATACTTTTTTTAAAAAAAATTAAAAAATGTTTTTTATTCAGTTTTTGCGAAGATACAAATTTTTCAAATTGCAATAAAAATTTTATTTATGAATATTTTTTGATGAAATTTTACAGTTAGGTAGATTTTTTTACTCAAAATCCAAAATTAAATAAAAATTTCGAATTTTCTTATTAGAAATCCCGGAATTCCCAAAAAAGTTTTAAAAAATCCCAAAAATGGGATTTTTTGGTTTTTTGCCTATTATATCCATACCAGGGGCGGGGTTATCGAAACCCGTTACAAAATGATTAAGAACTTATTGGGTCATATAAAACAGGTCACTATAATTTGATATCGACTATGCGATTTGAGAATTTTTGCTCAAAATTTAATTTTCCATAAAAAATAGGGTTTTTTTGGATGGACCTGGTCCCCTCGGTATCAAAAATTTGTAGGTTTTGTTTCATTTATCGTATTTTATGTAAAGTCAGCTTTCCAAAAAGTATAAATTCTATATACATCTTCTTAGAAACTTTTTAGATAACTTAAAAAGAAAAAGATACTTTTTTCCCAAAAAAATGACAAAAAATCGCCTTTTTTTAATTTTTTAAATTTAAATGCCTATAACTTTGGACTCAGTCATGATTTTTACATAATTCTTTCACTGCTTGGTATATAAACTTGTTGTTAAGCAAATAAAAAAAATGGCGAAAATCGGAAATATTTGGACCTGCTATTATCAAAAAAACTAAAGTAAGGACGGTAAAAATTTTAAAATTTTAATATTCAAATGCGAATATCTCCTAAACTATAAGAGATAATTTACTGCTACGACGACATTTTTTATAGTGCTCGATGAGGAGATTCTATATACGAAATTATTTTTAAATCGGAACTCAAATGAAGAAATAGGATCGTTTTAAAAATTTAACATAGCCGAGGTGTCCTAATTTGAGGACCCCCCGCCGGGCCCCTGGTTGGCCTATAAGGTCCAAATTCAAAACCTAAACTCGACAACACCTCCTCTTTGTGCATACCAAATTTCATTAAAATCGGATTAACCGTTTAGAAGTTACCGAATTATTTCCCTCTTTTTTTTTCCTATACCACTGTGCTACGTACATACACACTACACTAAATAACAAGTTCTAATTTCGAACTATTGATTCAAAGACATACAATTTGTGGCAACTGAAAATAATAAACACAAAATAACTACAGAAAAAAACGAAAAAAAAAGATACGAGTACTTCACATCATATAGTAGAAATACATGGATGCAAGTTTTCTGATTGTGTGAGTATGAAAAAACATACAAAAAATCACACAAATTCTAAAGCCTTAGATGTATGTTTGTCTGCCTATCTGTAGCTGAATTCAAAATAAATGAATTGGGCGTGTATTATTCACAAAATTGTGTGTACAGTGCGGGAAATTTTAATAGGTAGGTGACTTTTGCAATTTTAGGATAGCGACACATTTTATATAAAAAATTTAGGATAGCGACAACTTTTCCAAAAAACTAATGATAACTAAAAATTTTCTATTAAAAATTAATGATAACGAGTGTTTTAGAATGTTTGTTATGTATAAGCGACAGATTTTCCCCAAACAATTTTACAAAGCGCTACATTTTCTAAAGAATATGGAATTATATAAACCATTTTTAAATAGCGACACATTTTATAAAGAAAATTTTGAAAGCGACAAAATTTCTGTAAAAATTATATGAAAGCTACAATTTCTATACGAAATTTACGGAAGTTACGTAAGTTTTTGTAGAAAAATTATGAAAATTTATATGAATTTTATAGAGCGACAAATTTTCTATAGAAAAATTACAGCAGCGACTAAGTCTTTATTAGAATTTATGTAAGCGAATAGAAACTTTATGTTAACGACAAAAGTTTTATATGTAAATTATGTGAGCGACAAACTTTAATAGAAAATGTATTAAAACGACAAATTTTCTTTTGAAAACATACGTGAGCGACAATTTAAAATAAAATTTTAAAGCGACAAAATTTTGGTAAAAATATACAAAAGACTTTTTTATTGGAAAATCAATTAAAGAAGTTAGTTATTAGTTAGATAGACAAAAAGCTAGATAGATAGATAGATAGATAGATAGATAGATAGATAGATAGATAGATAGATAGATAGATAGATAGATAGATAGATAGATAGATAGATAGATAGATAGATAGATAGATAGATAGATAGATAGATAGATAGATAGATAGATAGATAGATAGATAGATAGATAGATAGATAGATAGATAGATAGATAGATAGATAGATAGATAGATAGATAGATAGATAGATAGATAGATAGATAGATAGATAGATAGATAGATAGATAGATAGATAGATAGATAGATAGATAGATAGATAGATAGATAGATAGATAGATAGATAGATAGATAGATAGATAGATAGATAGATAGATAGATAGATAGATAGATAGATAGATAGATAGATAGATAGATAGATAGATAGATAGATAGATAGATAGATAGATAGATAGATAGATAGATAGATAGATAGATAGATAGATAGATAGATAGATAGATAGATAGATAGATAGATAGATAGATAGATAGATAGATAGATAGATAGATAGATAGATAGATAGATAGATAGATAGATAGATAGATAGATAGATAGATAGATAGATAGATAGATAGATAGATAGATAGATAGATAGATAGATAGATAGATAGATAGATAGATAGATAGATAGATAGATAGATAGATAGATAGATAGATAGATAGATAGATAGATAGATAGATAGATAGATAGATAGATAGATAGATAGATAGATAGATAGATAGATAGATAGATAGATAGATAGATAGATAGATAGATAGATAGATAGATAGATAGATAGATATAGATAGATAGATAGATAGATAGATAGATAGATAGATAGATAGATAGATAGATAGATAGATAGATAGATAGATAGATAGATAGATAGATAGATAGATAGATAGATAGATAGATAGATAGATAGATAGATAGATAGATAGATAGATAGATAGATAGATAAATAGATAGATAGATAGATAAATAGATAAATAGATTAGTTAGTTAGTAGTTAGTAGTTAGTTAGTTAGTTAGTTAGTTAGTTAGTTAGTTAGTTAGTTAGTTAGTTAGTTAGTTAGTTAGTTAGTTAGTTAGTTAGTTGGTAGTAGTTAGTTAGTTAGTTTGTTAGTTAGTTAGTTAGTTAGTAGTTAGTTAGTTAGTTAGTTAGTTAGTTAGTTAGTTAGTTAGTTAGTTAGGTAGTTAGTTAGTTAGTTAGTTAGTTAGTTAGTAGTTAGTTAGTTAGTTAGTTAGTTAGTTAGTTAGTTAGTTAGTCAGTTAGTTAGTTAGTTAGTTAGTTAGTTAGTTAGTTAGTTAGTTAGTTAGTTAGTTAGTTAGTTAGTTAGTTAGTTAGTTAGTTAGTTAGTTAGTTAGTTAGTTAGTTAGTTAGTTAGTTAGTTAGTTAGTTAGTTAGTTAGTTAGTTAGTTAGTTAGTTAGTTAGTTAGTTAGTTAGTTAGTTAGTTAGTTAGTTAGTTAGTTAGTTAGTTAGTTAGTTAGTTAGTTAGTTAGTTAGTTAGTTAGTTAGTTAGTTAGTTAGTTAGTTAGTTAGTTAGTTAGTTAGTTAGTTAGTTAGTTAGTTAGTTAGTTAGTTAGTTAGTTAGTTAGTTAGTTAGTTAGTTAGTTAGTTAGTTAGTTAGTTAGTTAGTTAGTTAGTTAGTTAGTTAGTTAGTTAGTTAGTTAGTTAGTTAGTTGGTTGGTCAGTTAGTTGATACGATAAATTTCTCCAGAAATTCAAATTTATTAAACTTTAAACTATTGTTAAAGTGTTTGTCGATAACTGATGTTAGTTGTAACACTTTATCGATATTTTAAAAATTCTTTAAAATCAGCAAAGCAGTTTTTAAACCATTTTTCTTTTTTAATAAAAATTTATTAACATTTTTTAATTTCTTTTATTTGCAGGTATGTATCTTCTATAAAATAATTAACAACCTTTTTAAGATAAGTATAAGAATTAAAAACATCCAAGTTGATGCGATTTTGGTTATTGTTTTCTAAGAATTCCATTAAGTGTACTTATAATTATTTCCGTTACCATATAGGATGTCTATAATTGTAGTTACAGTTAGATTATACCAAATTCGCATACAAAATACAATCAGCCATAAATATTGAACATGATTATTATCATCAACAGCATCATTATGAACATCAGCTATATGTAGAGGAAAAAAAAAACACAAATATACTTTAATAAAAGCTTCAATCAAAGTTAAACAAATGTTTGGGAAAAAAAAAACGTAATTGTAGGTTTTACATATGTCAACAGAAAATGTGTGAGAGTGTGTGTAGAGAGACAGGATATAAAAACTGAACAGACAGACATATATTTACTTACTCCTCTCATACACAAATGTCATCTTAATCAACAGCAATTCTAAAGTTAAACATCATCATTATCATCATGAGAATACAGCAGCATTTACTTTTAGCGTGTCTTGAAAATTGTGATTTTTTTTATATTTTGCTTTACTTTACACATAAAACAAGTAGAGTAATCAATTTATAATAGAACCAGATGATGATGATCAAATACATATATTACAAACCAACCAAGCATCCATTTGTACATACATATATACATACATTCATCAACAAACAAACACAATTGATTTCATTTCAAACTCAAAATTACGTTCTGAATAAAAAAACTAGTGTTCAATGAATTGATACTGATTATTGATGGCGCCAAGAATTGTCAGTTAGTTTATTTATTGTTGTTGTTGTTGTGGTACAATCAGTAGTAACAGCAGCGGTAGTAGTGGTTAACAAGTAGTGATTTTAAAATGTCAGTCATTAGTAGTTTTTTTGTTGTTATTTTAAATTATTTACTTTAATATACAATTTTCAAATGCTTTTTGTTTAACGTTAATCAATTGTTTTTTTATGATTATTATTATTGTTTTCGTTTTTTTTTTGTTAAACAATTACTAATTAATGTGAGTAAACAATTTACAAATAACAATAAATATGTAAAAAAAACTAAAACGAAAAAAAAAATTGCAACAAATCATTGCAAAAAATTACAGTTTTGAGAAAATTATAAAAAAAAAAACAACAACAGCCAGCAGCCACAGCAGCATTAGAAAATAATAACAAGTTTTAGTACAAAGAGTTTAAGTTTTGAGAACAAAGAAACATTAGCAAAATAAATACAATTATTTAACCCTATTTTTAAATTTAAATTAACACACAAAGACAGCAGAAGCAGCAGTTAACAAACAACACAACACAGCATCGTTTTTTTTTTAATATTGAATTTCATTTAGGAAATAATTAAAAGGAAATATATTTTTTTTAAAATTAATTTTTCATTATAAAATAAATTTTATAATGAGGTGTTAGGTTACTAAACTTTTGAATTTGAAATATTTTGTTTAATTTTACGTTTTAATAATTAAGTTTAAAAGTTTTAATAATGTTGTTTTAATAATGTTAATTTACTTTGGAAAATTTTATATTCGAAAATACATTTTTTTTTAACAAAATTCAATTGTTTCTGGCTTAAAAATGCAATAAATTCTTGTTTATATTGATTTTTGATCATTTTCGAAATTAAGTTCGAATTTTCGAAAATCCCCAAATCCTCGTTTTTTGGCTATTATTTCAAGTATAATTCTAGAAATAATACAAATTTTAAAATTTGTAAGAAAATTTTGAATTTTGGCCTTGTTTGAATTATTCGAAGTTAAGTTCGAATTTTCGAAAATTTTTATAAAACTCATTTCAAACATTTCCTTTCAAATAATAACTTTAAAATAACAAATTTATGTGAAAAAAATCAATTTCGAATTTTTCGAAATTAAGTTCGAATTTTAGAAAATCTGAAAAATATCGTTTTTTTGATTTTATATTGCAAGAGGAAGTCTATAAATAATATAATTCTTAAGATTTTTAAGAAAAATCATAGTTTTAGCTATGTTCGAAATTTTTGAGATTAAGTTCGAATTTTCGAAAATCTCTAAATCAAAATTTTTTGCCTGTTCTTTGAATAGGCAGTCTATAAATAAAATAATTCTTGCAATTTTTAAGAAAAATCTCAGTTTTAGCCTTGTTCGAATTTTTCGAAATTAAGTTCGAATTTTCTAAATATCGTTTTTCTGGCTCTTATCTCAAGAAGCAGTCATATTATTATTAAAATTTTTATGAAAATGCAAAGTTTTAGCTGCGTTCGAATTTTTCGAATTTAAGTTCGAATTTTCGAAAAATGCGAAAATATTGTTTTTCTGTCATTTATTGCAAGAGGAAGTCTGTAAGTAATAAAATTCTTAGTATTTTTTAGAAAATGACGATTTTTAGCTATCTTCGAATTTTTCGAAATTAAGTTCGAACTTTCGAAAATCTATAAATCATCGTTTCTTGGCTATTATTGCAAGAGGAAGTCTTTAAATAAGATAATTCTTTAAATTATTTCAAGAAGAAGTCTATAAATAATATTGTTCTTAAAATTTTTAAGAAAAAGCTAAGTTCAGCCATGTTCGAATTTTTCGAAATTAAGTTCGAATTTTTGAAAATTTCGAAAATATGGTAATTATGGTTATTCTTTTCATAGGAAGTCTAAAAATAGTACAATTTTTATAATTTGTAAGGAAATGTCGAGTTTTAGCTATATTCGAATTTTTCGAAATTAAGTTCGAATTTTCGAAAAAACTCAAATATTTAATTTTTTTTAAACAATAACTTTAAATTATTTCAAGAAGAAGTCTATAAATAATATTGTTCTTAAAATTTTTAAGAAAAAGCTAAGTTCAGCCATGTTCGAATTTTTCGAAATTAAGTTCGAATTTTTGAAAATTTCGAAAATATGGTAATTATGGTTATTCTTTTCATAGGAAGTCTAAAAATAGTACAATTTTTATAATTTGTAAGGAAATGTCGAGTTTTAGCTATATTCGAATTTTTCGAAATTAAGTTCGAATTTTCGAAAAAACTCAAATATTTAATTTTTTTTAAACAATAACTTTTTTTAAAGAATTTTTGTCGTTAATTTACAAATTTCTGCCAACATTTTCAAACTCGAATTTTTCGAAATTAAGTTCGAATTTTCGAAAAACTCAAATATTTAATTTTTAGCATATTTTTCAAAACAAAAGCTTTAATAAAGAATTTTTGTCATAAATTTTCGAATTTTTGATAAAAATTTCAAATTCTAAATTTTCGAAATTAAGTTCGAATTTTCGAAAAAACTCAAATATTTAATTTTAAGCATATTTTTTTAAAACAAAGGCTTTATTAAACAATTTTTTGTCGTAAATTTTCAAATTTCTGCCAAAATTTTCAAATTCGGATTTTTCGAAATTAAGTTGGAATTTTCGAAACACTCAAATATTTTATTTTTGAAACAATGTATTTTTGAAACAAATACTTTAATAAAGAATTTTTCAATATTTCGAAATTATGTTCGAAATTTCGAAAATCTCAGAAAATTTATTTTCTATTTGCATATTTAAACATTTTTTTTTTTAAAGTTATTTTTCTTTCAATTCTTTATTCTGTATGTATGTCACGCTGTCATTGTTGTTGTTGTTGTTATTATTTTGGGGTTAGTTTTTCCTCAATTTTCTTTTATACATATTTAAGTATTAAAAACAATAAATAGTTTTTCCATTCCTTTTGTTTATTCAAATCCTTAAGGGAAAGAGAAAAGTAATTTACACTTATACTGTGTTACATACATACATACATAAATTTCAACAATCTTTATGACGCTGTAAAAGGAATGTGTACTACGACGAAGGCAATTATTAAACACCACCCGTGCGTTTTAGCTTTGCTGTGTGTGCATTCAGGACAGAAAAAAGGACCCGCATATTAAGAAGAAAATTTCTAATCTACATTCAAGAAGCAAGAGTTTTTAGGGAGAAAGTGGTTGAGCTTAGTTAAATGAATGACTTGGTGATATTGAATGCTTGGTAGGTTGGTTGGTTGCTGTTGCAACAACTACCCTTTATTGCCGCTGCTGCTGCTGCTTTTCTCATCCTTGTGGCCATCATAAAAAACCTATTTTATTATGTTCATGGAATGAGTGTTTTTTTTGCTTTGTTTTGCTTTTTTCTCTAATGAATAAAAAGCTTTGGATGTTATTGTTTATATAGGCAAAGCTTGTATACAATTTTTTGGTAGGTTTTTCCTCAGCAACCACCTCCTGCTACACAGTTTTACTTATTCAGTTGTTCTTCTTTATTATCTTTTTCGTCAACATCATCATCATGTCAAAGTAAGTAAGAAAAAACGCAAATATTCATAATATTTTCAATATGTATAACAACAACCCTTGTGTTGTCTCAACGCCAGACTGTTTGTCACTTAGGCAGACTGACAGTAAGACGGACTAAAACTGTCTTCTATGTCTACAATTGACTGACTGAATGCTTCGTCTAATAAGTGACATTGAGTGGTATGTGCATGTTGTTGATGATGATGACGACTATGTGCTATGATGGGGGTGGGGTGTTGGTGGAAGTGTGGTTGCTGGGTTTTAAAAGATTTCATTTTTTTTCTCGCTTTTCCTACATACAAGCTTATGAAAAACGTATTGATTTGGGTGGGTGTGAAAGGCAAAAAGCAGAAAACAAAACAAATGAAAAAAAGCTGACAAATAAAACGCATAATACGTGTGTACATAAATGGTCTCCTCACACCTAGATTTTGTATTTTGGTATTTGGTGGTCGTTGTTAGTTAGAATTCAAACAAAACTTTTTCATTTTATTTTTGTGTATGTATAACTGAATGTTTGTAATAATTTTCCATTTTGACACAAAGATTTCTTGCAATTTTTTTTTGGGCAAAATTATGAAAAAGTCAACAGCCACCAAAAAGAAATTTATATCAAATTTTATTAAAATATTTTTTGCAACTTTTAGAAAATTTTCAACACAACAAATCTCTCTTTAACTTTTATACTTTCTACAGGTTTTCTCCTTTAAATCAAAACTTATATTTCAAGATGAAACAAAAATATTAAATTTATACAAAAAATTCATAACATGATAATGATGATGAAGATGATGAACATAATAAATCCTAAAATATAACTAAAGTCTATACTCCAACACTGCCTAATCTGCTACATTCATATATTACTTTTGGGCTAAATGTGGTTTAACATTTTGTTTTTGCCAGCAATTAAAACAAAATACTAAAAAGCTACAAAACATAAAAATTACAATTTATAAACCGCCACAGCACCACTACTGATTACCGGCACCGATATCTCGCATACACTAAATGTACATATACATATATATTCCCCAATATAGTCATAATGTTAACAAAAACAATAACAATATTTTTTTTTATTTATAAACATAACGTAAACGTAAGAGTTGTAACGTCACTGCCAGTTAGTTACCATAATCAACCAACCATCCAATAAATAGCAGAAGCAGCAACCAAAATATCTACCATCTATGCCTACCGTAATCATACATACAGTAAAAATTCATCCAACCACACCTATACAATTACATATAATGAACTTCATTATTATTGAATTTTATACATAATTATTATGATTTTCATAATAATACATTAACACCCATTAGGGATGAGAAACAGAGTTGGTACAAATGGTAATTGTTGTAGGTACCATCGCCTACACCAAAAATCTTCCCAAACTATCAAAGATCTTTGGCGATTGAAAAGGTCATTCGATATCAATGAAAAATTCAAATGAAGGATTTAATGCCGAATTTGAACAGAACTAGAAGAGAACTAGAACAGGACTAGAACAGAACTAGAACAGAACAATAACAGAACTAGAACAGAACTAGAACAGAACTAGAACATAACTAGAACAGAACTAGAACAGAACTAAGAACTAGAACAGAACTAGAACAGAACTAGAACAGAACTAGAACAGAACTAGAACAGAACTAGAACAGAAC